ATTATTAATATAAGTAGTATCTAGCCCTTTCACAGTGAACAAATGCCTCTTCAACAAGCCTATTCAAAAAGGTTTCAATAAAAATAAAGCAATAAGCAATAAAAAGTCTGCAGGCAGCAGGTGATCGTTAGGCAAGCAAAACTCTCGCACAGATGTCAATACAATCTGCCCTGATGGCAACCTTGTGGAAAGAGTTTCTTTAATATTCACTCAGGTTTAAGTTTCAGAATACTCAAAATAACTTGCAGTCAGAAAACAAAACAGATGGCAAAGAAATCTAAATAGGGTTTAATAACTACAGTTTCTGGCTGACAGTATCTATCTAAGTGAGGTTCACACTAAGTCGAGGAAGGATCAGGATGTGCAGCCCATCGCCTCTCTTATGGCCTAAAGAATGAGCATCATCACACACTCCAATGACAGTACAAAAGAATGAGGGACTGCTACAAATGTCCATAATTTAGGCTAGTATTTTATTTTTTTATTTAATTCTTCCCTTGTGAGACTTAGAGAAAAAAAGGAAAACCAACAAATGAGTTACAAATAAATATGAATAAATATGAAATATGAAAAGAACAGCTATCCTGTCTCTTTATCAGGGCTTTATTTTCACTCATTCAGTATCAGTATATAATAAGAAGCAAATGGATATCTTGTTTTACACAATTTTCCTTATCTTTGCCATAGACTATATTAAATTAAATATTAGGTTAAGCCCCCCTCTAATAATTTTTTAACAGTCTATTATTATCTGTTACACTTGCATTGCTCTTACTGGACTTAAGTGTAATATCTTTTAGCCAGAAACTAAAAAAAAATACCTCAAACAAACAAATGTCAAAAATACACTCACCAGCTCAACACGGCCAAACCCTCCCACTCCAAGCGTGACAGGATCTCCTTGATAGCGGCCCTCCTGATACAACATAGGAACCAGATCCTTAAACCTCAGAGTGGAGCTGGGACTGAGGGAGACAGACACAGAACTCTCAGCACTCATTTGTGTGATTCATATGATTGTGTTACAGCTTACCGCCTGGATCCACTAAGTCTTATCATCCCACCACAGCCACTCACCTCGACTTCTCTGGAGCTTGTGCCTCCTGCAGCACTTTGGAGCTGGGAGTAAAAGACAAATAAGAGAGACAAGATTTGAGCAGGAAATTAATCAGGACAGTCAAGTTTATTTACATTAATTTCATCACACTATTGTCACCAAGATGGAGAAAAGTGTTCTACAGTACATACTCATCAAACAGCTCCAGGTGCTCTATGGGAATTGTCTCTTCAAATACCCTAAAGACAAGGAAGGCATTGCTAGTCAAACTGTGCATCAAACAAACAAACACAGCAAACACAGCGCAAACAAGGCAACAGTGACAGAGAACAAATACACTTTACACTTCCTCCAAGGATGTTTCTCTCCAGGAACAACATCTGTCACTGCAGAGCCTGACTGAACAGGGATATCACCTTCGTTTACACTCAGAATTCAATGTCAGACTCACTCCTTGTCAATGGAGAAGCAGGTAACAGGGCCATCAGCAGTGCAGGTGGCAGTTCTCAAGACTTCACTGCCAGAGGAAAAACATTACACATGTCAGCCCAGGAAAACTGTATGTCATTACTGTACAGTACATATACACTTGTCAGCAACTCAGTGTGGAAAAAGTTCATTTTTTATTTCGGAAATTTGAGAAAACTTTGCATTAGCTCCTGAAATTAATGACGTCTTACGTGTTTTATGCAAAGTTTTGCTGCAACAGGAGTGTCATCATTTTAATGAATAAACTGTAGCGGATTATGGAAGATGATTTGTTGATGTGCAGGCTTTTTCAACACATTGATATATGTGGATAGAGAAAAGTAACTGCAAAAGAAGAGAGGAAGTGTTTCATATTTATTAATTCACTGATCTCTATGCAGCATAAATCTGCATCAGAAAAAAAGATTGCCACTAAAAGTAGATTAGCTGGATGATATTTGATTTTTAATAAAAAGACAAACAATGTGTCTGTTACTCTCCCATAGATTACTGTGTTCTTGGTTTCTACGCAGTGCTACTGACAACCCTGACAAGTTTCCTGCAAAAGATTTTGTTAAACAGTTAAACATTTGCAAATTTTTTAATTGGCTGATTTGCATATCAACAGCACCGAGTAATTTAGAGAAACTTCCAGAGGTCTTCTAAATTTAGTGGAGCCATTTTAAATTTCTTAAGTAACCATAAATGACTGTTCCCATTTAGAAGATAATCTGCTGGTTGTGCAAGCCAAATGTCAAAGATGACAGCAGCCAAAGAAGGTGCACAGAGCAGTGGATGTTGCACAAGGCTCCAACAAATGTCCTCAGGCATGTGTTGGATTGCCATGGTTACCGTATGAGGGCCTGCTCCCCGAAATGCTCCCCTTTCCCCATCCTACGAATCTGCTTCTGGTGCCCATTCACGTTCTTAGACACCAGGACCTGAGGGGGAAACACACATGAAACGGAGGAAGAGAGAATGAGTGCATATTTATACAATACTGTATACAGTATACACACCATTTAAAAATGAGTTTGTGCACACAGTGTGACACCATATTACCTCTCCTTTGAGGATGATGTAGAATGTGTTTGCTTCTGCTCCTTCTCGGACTATAACATCTTTGTCCTGGTACTTCACCTGCAGAATACAAGACAAAACGATTAGAACAATAACAATCTTTTCCATATACTCAAATATGTTTGTCTTAAAAATAAAGTTAATGATTTAAAGGACAAAAGAATCCCTAAATATTACGCCAAGTGCCTTGATAATGCTTTGTTCCCAGGGCTCTTACATTTAATTATTTCAGAAATTAAAAAAAAATGTTTTTTTTTAGTTTATCTTAGTTTTTAGTTTATCTTCAAAAATACATGTTTCTGGATTTCTATTGTTTCACTCAAAGTTCACATCGGAACATCGAAGTACACACCTCCTCCATTGAGTCAATGATTTTGGACAACTGGACATCATTCAGGTCCTTTAGAGTACGGGACCTGTGGTAGCATATAAAACATATAGCAGCAGGGTTAGAAATAGTGATTATGTGGTCCATTAAGCCATGCAAAAACAGTGTTATGGCAGTGTAAAATAAAAAGGAAACCATTAAACAAAACTACCAAGATCTAAGAAAAGACCTATTTCTTTAATATGGGCAAACTATGCTGACAGGATATTCAATTTCTACTGGCTGCAGGGTCTTTAAAACTCACGTCTTCAGGAAACCCATCAGCTGCTCACGTTTCTTCTTGGACTTGTTGGTTATGATCGTCCTGTACGTCTGACGCTCCATGCTCCACAGACGCACTGCTGTCTTTGCTGCAACGTAAGTGAAAAGTGATGAGAGCTAAAGATAAGGCAGTAAATTCTCGCTGAACAGCTTTACTATGATTAGACCAGAGTGCAAGGGGCTGTTATGGACTAAAATGAAAGAAAACTGACACGACACAATTGCACCGATCAAAATCTGTTCAGGAAAGTTCAGGGCCCCTATTTTTTCAATAAAATAGTAGAACACGACACAAACAGCTTCTAAACTATTTAGGAGGGATAATGACACAACTGACTCATAGTCCCACAACAACATCACATTATTTACACCTATAGTATGAAGATTAAAAATGTCATTATTATATCTGCATCTACCTCTAGATCATCATTACGGGGGCTGACCTTTGACTGTTGCTGTCCGTTTGCAATTGTACAGGATGGCCAACTCCCCAAACACATCACCAGTGGTTAGAGTGCGGAGGTCCCGACCTGTCTGTGTGACACGGAGCTCACCAGCTAAAAGGGGGAAGGAAAAGGAAGTTGCTTCGGACTGAAATGTGTAGAATTTTAAATAAATTTTCAATATATTTTGTACATATAATATATTGGTGTTTTTTTAAATAAGGGGTTTTCATATAAAATTAAATTTAAATAAAATCTTCCGTCACCTGCAGCCATAGACATGCATCCACACACACTCATCCCACCTGCCACTATGTACATGCTGTCTCCTTCAGAGCCCTCTTTAATGACGTCTTCGCCCGGGTTGAAGTTAGAAACAGTTAAGAGATCCACCATCATGGCTGTTTGCTCATCATCGAGGCGGCTCAGGAAGTCATTCTTCTGGATGGCTTTTACAATCAGATTTGTCTCACTGAAGGAGGTAAAGGAGGTCATCTTGATCTAAGGTCACTGAAATCTCACAGCTCCCACACAACATGAACCCCCCATCATACATTATTAAGGTGCAGGAGAGGCAATTAGATCAGATTTGCCATAATAGCAGAGCAAAAACCCAGTGCAGTCTTGCTTAAATGGGATATTAGAGTTAGCAGTACTGATTACCAACCTGGCAGTTTTCTTGACCCTGGTGCGTGCAATATTCAGGGTTTCAGGGATTGGTTCGGGGGCAATGACAGCCGCACGGCTCTTCCTGACCTCCGGGTCAATCTCATTACTGCTCTGGGACGGAAACTCTGAAACAGACAAACAGAGTAAAGCAAACGGGTTAACAACTGTAAATGACTGCCATCTTTCAGCTGAATGTTGAATCAAAGGTCACCTCAGTCATGTGTATTTGTGTTTGTATGAGTCCCTGCACCCGGTGCCAATGTTGAACTCTTACCCAGATCATGATATTGACTCTGCAGATCCTGCAAAAGTGTTTCTTTCTCTTGCAGTCGTTGTTCTATGAGAATACAAGCAGAGGAGCATCAATGTATGAAACATCACAAGTAACACGGTGCATAATTCATGAAGGAAAATTTTACTTGTACAGCATAACCCAACTAATACTGGATTTTTTAGGCCAATACTGATATTTGAGAGTTTACAATTACGATATTAGCTGATATATATATTTAATAAGAACATTTCTTATAACAATCCCTAACAGTATAGTCTGACCAAAATATGTATTAAATGGGACCTTATACAGTTAAATTTGTCAGTGCTCTCTGATGGACAAAACATATTTACATATTTTAGTTTTTCTGGGTCAAAATATCTTGTTATTATTCAGCTAATATACACTGATATGTGTGAGTTAAGCTAATGTCAGCCAATATGTATGTGGTCTCAAATATGTTTTCTGCAATGTGGTTGCAGACTTTCTTTGTTATTGCCGTTAAAAGATCATTGTGTAGGATTCAGTGACATCTAGTGGTGTATTTGAAGGATTAACTATGTTGGCTGTGAAAGTGCCCCATGTGGAGTCCGTGTTTGGTTTGTCCATTCTGGGCTAGTGCAGTATTACATTGCAATATCAAAGCTGGATATGGTCACAACCAAGCTAGACCCCACCTAGCTATGATGTTGGTTGTGGTCTAATATAAAGTTACTCTTTAATGTAATATAGTTATGGTTACACTCACCCAGGTCTTTGTTTTGCCTCTGCAGCTCCTTGTTGATGAGACATTGCTTTTCTAGCTGCTGCTTCAGCTCCTCTAGTTGCTTCTCCATAACTACAAAGACAAAAACCTCAAAAAATAAAGATATATGGGAAAAGTATATGGCGTAGTAAACAGACAAATTGTAGCATAATTAATGGTAAGAAGGTAGGAATAAGTTTAAATGATGCATCTTAACACTGACATAAAATACATAACCAAACATGTTGATATGTGTAGAGGCACACAACGCTCCAGATACATATTTCAACTGTATGTAACTATGCTGGTGCCTTTTTCACAAGGCACGGAAGCTCTACTCCACTGCCTGTGCACAGCAAGAGCCCCGCTGAATAATGCAGACTAATGATGGACAGTCAACAGGGTGCTTTCTGAATGCTGTCACACCCTGCCAGCTTTTGCTAAAGATCTATTACTGTACCTTTGATGGATAGTGGCACAAACCTGTCAAAATAGTCCAAAACCTTAATATTAGCTCCCTTATTGCAGGCTGTGTGTGTATTTCTTTATTCTCGCTGCTTTTGTGCTTCTACAATAATGTGTGACATTAACAACCTCTGCTGTATGAATTTATGTTTAAGGTGGAGAGTGGAACTAGCAAGAAATGTGTGGGCATGCTAACAGGGTGTGAGTTAATGACACAGATTCATTATCACAACAGGTTAAAGTAACAATGTTAGTAAAAAAATAACTGTCTGTTAAGTCACTATTGCAGAAAGAGGTAGCACAATGGTGATTGAGCATATGAAGTACTATTGATGGGAATTGCTAAATATTTGCTGTACAGTGCAGAACAGTTTGTGGCAACCAAGTGTGAACCTATTGTTACATCACCCATTGGTTTGTGGAGCAATGTAACTGCTGCGCTTATTTTCTTGGTTTCAATTCATCCATAGCAGTACACTAAAATATGCTTCTGAAAACCATTTTGGTTGAGAAATAGTGAATACAATAACAGAATCTTGATTCACATTTGAACAGCACTGTCTAGTTTGACAGTGTGATCTGAGTACTCACTGAGAATGACTTGTCAATCACAAGGCAGACACACCCTCAAGCATACCCTGCTTTATTGTTTATTCTACTCTAAATGGAACCATCATTTACTAAATGAACATCATGCTATATGAAA